CGGACCGGGCCGGAGCCCAGGCTGGGCGCGGGCGGCGGGCGCAGCTCCAGCCTCCTCCTCCGCGGCCTTTTCTTCCTGGGGAGAATAAGCCCCAAATCAGCCAAGATTGGCAGCCTTGAGCATCTTCCTAAGCCAGCGCCCTCTTCTTTCCCTTTCTCATTCCACCTTTCTAATTAGGCTAATTAGGGGCGCTCGGCGGAGTTGCTGGGCCCCGGGCTGAGCTGCTCCGGGGTTATGAAAAGAGCCCTGAATGGCCACGCTGGGGGCCGGCGGGGCCTTTGCGACCCATTCAGCTCAGAGCAACAGTGGCTACATTTATCCCTGCGCATTGAAAGGAGGCTCGATTAAAACGTTTGGGAACGAATGCCACCCCGCACCCTCTAATTAGAGGAGCCCGGCGTGGCGAGGCAGGCCCGGTGCCGCACGCCCGGGCTTTGGGCCCTTTCAGCTCAGGAGCTCCTGCCCGGAGACAAAAGTCCCTCACCTCCCCACCTGTCCTGGGCCAGCCGCTCCCCCACCGTCAGAGCCCCTTGCTTCTCCCACGCGGAAGGCCAGGCCCACTGCCTTGGAACACAGAGGGCTGCCACACCGGGGACAGAGGGGTGGAAAAAGGCGCCAAGTTCCCTCTCTCGGCCTCCGAAAGCATCCTTTGCATTCCGGCTCCTATTTTCCTCTCCATCTGTCACATTTTGTATTTACAGCTCTGCTCCCTCCCCCAACATGAAATTCCCAAGCCAAGCATCTGGGGAGAAGACAGTGGTCAGATGCCATCGGATCCACGATAGTGGCTGTGTGTTCCTTGCTTGCATAAATAATATGTAGCAGCCTTTTCTTTTTAAGAAATGTATATTGAATGCTCATTACCTCCCCAGACAGATTCTTCCTGTGCTGCTCAGCTGTCTTCTCTTTTCCTTCTCAGCCTGTCCCCTAGAACTTAAGCCTGACTCGGTTCCTTGAACAGGCTGTCCGCTTCTCTCCCCATGGTTTACACTAGATGTATTTTTCTTTCTTGTGGCTTAATAGGAAGGACTCTAGACACTCTAGGAAAGCAAATGAAAAGTAGTAGCTATTTTACAACCACAGATTTTGTATGGGGAGAACTGTTTGTTCATTTTGTTGGTGAGAAGGTGGTATCTGATATTTCTGCAAAAATTCGAAACACGCTTTGCCCTGAGATAAAGATGACCATGAAGATTTGATTCCCCTTCCCCCTGTCTTGGAAAAGAGCCAGACGTGCAAACAAGTATCATCAGGTCCCTGTTCTTGATCATGTTAATTCAGAAGATGGAACCTCAGTAAAAGATGCTGTTAACTAAATGTCAACCCACAGCACGCAAAATTCCTTGGATCCAAATTTTTTTAAAAAAAAGGAATGATAAATGTCATGTGAGTGAGAGGAATCATGGGTTTTTTCAAGGCCTAAACTGAGCTTAATAGAGTTTTATTGCTTCCACACCCTGCCTCATAATATTTTAATTTAACAGTTATGATGTGCATGACATTGGAGCGTAAATCTAATGAATTAGGAAACTGGGTGCAGCCAAAGGAGGGAGAGACGCGAGAACAGGCTCTCATTGGTGCCGGAGAAAATGACAATTTGCAAAAATTTAAAATTCCTGGAAACTGAAATGGAAAACCAAACTCTATACTGCCTGTAATTTTATCAACAAGCTTTTTCCTGTTTTCTTTTTTTTTTCCATTTCAGTAATTTAAATTTTGGTTAAAGAACAACATAAAGTGTCCAACTCCTAAGTGTACCACTTGGTGAATATGCACCTAGGTAATCAGTATTTAGATCAAGTTATAGAACATTTTAATGCTCCAGAAAACTCCTGCATGCCACTTCCCAATAAATATTACCCCATTTCCAAACACCATTCTCATTTCTGTCGCCACAGATCGGTTTCACATGTTCTTGAACGTCATATAAGTGGAATCATACAGTATGCAGTCTTGTTTGACTTCTTTTACTCATCAGTATGTTTGTGAAGTTTCATCTGTTCAAATTCCTTTTCATACATCAATATAAATAGCAAATCACTTACAGTATGGGTAAAGAAGGAGAAGCAAACACTGGAAAACTTTAATTTCCCTAAAAGTCTCCAACATTTTGTTAACCAGAAAGGCAATTTCATGATTAGAAGTAAATAAAAGGAAAGAGTTTACCCACAGTAACTGTGAGCTACATCATTTCCAAGATGCAATTGTGGGTAAGTGTAAGGAGCTTGGAAACCCTGAGCCGCCTTTGTAATTGGAGTCTATTTCCTACTTGTCATTTCATACCCTAAGACTAGTAGTGAGTACTTTGGGCCTCTTCACAAAGAATGGCATGAGCTCGAGGGGGAAAGTAAATTGCATCCAGTTTGTTCTACCTCAGCCGTGCAAGCACTTCATGCAGCAGCCTGTCAAGTGTGCTTTGATTGTGTCTGAAAGTAAAGTGTTCATTTTGCAAGTAAAATAGCTGTCTGTACTTTATCCTGTTTGTAGGTCCCCATGCAGCTCGGTTAGCTTCAGACAAAAGTACAGCAAACCTGCAGAATTATGATCATCCTAGTCAGTCCCAGCATCCCCAGCAATGTCTCATGCATTCATGCCATGGACGACCAGCAGGAGGCCACCAGTGCAGCCCATCTTGTACCTTCTCTCCCTCAAGAGAAAAGAGAATGCAGCCCGTAGGACCTTCCTTCCTCCCAAGTGCGGTGCTTTTAGGGACAGATGTATTTATACCATGGAAGAAATTATGAGTCCAGATAGAAGAGCCTGAAGTAAGTTTTTGGTTACTTATATATGATATTGGTAAACAGAAGTTGGGAGTAGATCATTTTATAATCTTAAATCTAAATTGGGTATGGTGGCATATACCTGTAATCCCAGCAATTGGGAGGCTGAGGCAGGAGGATCACTATGAGTTTGAGGCCAGCCTGGGTACATAATAAGTTCATACCCAGCTTGAATTACAGTGAGAACCTGTCTTAAAAAACACCAAATAAATAAGTACAATGTTAAATCTAAAAAATTGAGTGTAATATAAAATAAGTCTTGGACTTTGTACTAAGGAAGATAGTGTGAAGATAAAAGTCATACTTACTGAACTATCATAGTGCCAGCAAATTGAATTAGATATTTCCCAAAGCAATTAAAAGAATATTTACTATTAGAATAGTTAAATAAAAAATAGCAATAACACCAAATACTGGCAAGAATGCAAAAAAAACCTGATCTCTAATACATTATTGATGACAATGGAAAGTAAGTCTGGAAAACAATTTTTAAAATTACTTATAAAACTAAATAGATACTTATTGTATAGCCCAGCAATTTTATTCTATATGGTGTTTATCCAAGAGAAATGAAAATTTATGTTTACAAAACAACCTGAACTGAAATGTCCACAGCAGGTTATTCACCATAGCAAAAGAACAGAAGGAAGAAGGGAAGGGAGGGAGGCAAAAAAAAGAAGTGAACATGTCTTTCAATGCGTGAAATTTTGGGATATCATACAAAGGACACTAAGCAATGAAAAGGAATAAACTAGGGATGCATGTAAGCAAACTGAATCTCAGTGCCATTAGGCTTAGTGAAAAATGTCAAGTCAACTTATAATATTACTACTGCATGATTTCATTTACATGGCATTCTTGAAATGATAAAACTACAAAGCAGGTTGGTTGTTGCTGGGGACAGGGAAGAGGAGAGGCAGATGCGTACAAAGGGAAGTCCTTTGTAATGATGGAAGAGTTTTGAACCCTGGTTCTTGTGAGATACAGCTGCATAGAGCTGCACACACATATTCACAACTCTCAACCTATGGTTTGAACATGTCCCTTCAAATGCATGTATTGGAAAATGTATCCTCAGTGCCACAACACTGGGAGTAGGGTCTTATGGCAGGGCCCTCGTGAATGGACTAATGCCACTGTAAAAAGGGTAACCCACTCCGTGTGGGCATGGGTTAGCCCTTTTCTGATATTTTGCCACAGGAGACCACAGATTTGCCTCTTTTAGCCTTTCTACTTTCTGCCCAATCACAGTGCAAGAAGACCTCACCATATGCTGGCAAATTGACCTTGGACTTCGTGGCCTACAGAATTGTAAGAAGTAAAATTTTGGTCTTTATAAATTACCCAATCTCAAGTATTCTATTGTTACATCACAAAGTGGACTATTACACAGGAATGATGTAAAAACCGAGAAAGAGCAATACTGTACTTAATAGTGTTACACAAACGTCACTTTCCTGGTTCTGATGTTGTTCTGCAGTTATATATCACTACTGAAGAAAATAGGATGGAGGGTTTATGAAACTCTTATTATTTTTTAAACTTCCTGTGAGCCTATAATTATTTCAAGATAAAAAATTAGAAAAAGTAAAGGATCCTTCAGTCAGTGTCTCATCAATAAAACTTTATACTGGTGACAAGAGCTTTCATTGCTTGATTTTTTTATACTTAATAAGGGAAGTTGTTAGGGCCATAGTTCAGTGGTAGAGCACTTGCCCGGCATGAGAGGCTCTGATTCTGGTCCATAGAACCACAAAGCAAAACAGAGAAATTAATTGAGGCCCGTCCTTCTGACAGGTATTTTGTAAGCAATGTTTAAAACACTAATAATTGTCAGCTGCATTTTTTATTGATAGACCCCATACTGAAAAATTTTTGGAATATAAAAAATATTGTCTATTTATTTGAAAGAATTAATTCTTGTTTTTTTTTTTTTTTTTTTTTTTTTTTTCCGGTACCAGGAATCGAACTCACGACCTTGCACTTGCCAGGCAGGCGCTGTGCGACTGAGCTAAATCCCCAGCCCCTGAAAGAATTAATTCTTTGAGTATCGATTTAATTTTGCAAATGGCCAAATATTGCTGAGAGTCAAATATGGTAAGTAAAAAAGATGACCCAGTCAGGTAAAACATTTTTCTGGCAAAACCAAAGTGTCCTGGAAGATTTTTCATTGGGTGTGACTTGTTAACTGGTTACAAAAAGAGTTCCCAAAATGCTCTCAGGAACAGCAACATCATAAGTATTGGTGTGCTTATAGGGCTGATTGCCTATAGGGAAACATTCATTGGTGTGCATAAGTTCTGGTGTGCATAAGTTTTTTAAAAATTTGCCTTTAAAACATTTTGTTTGAGACAAAGTCTTACTACATAGTACTCCCTGAGTAGTCCAGGCTGGCCTGAAACTTGTGGTAATCCTCCTGCCTCAGCCTCCTGAGTGCTGGAAATACAGGCATCCACCACTATGCCTGGCTTAAAATGGTTTTTGAAAATATGCATAACCTGTTTTGAAAATATGTTAATCAATATATCAAGTGTGTAGAGGTAAGATTTATTAATCTTTTTTCTAAGATGGAGTGGTATACATACCTTACCTGGTTTATAAATTTGAAATATTGCAAGCGAAAGTTTTGTTAACTGTGATCATGCTTGTAATTCCTTTAATCTCTGTACTAAGGGGTGGATCAGCAAATACCACCACTTCTTAAATAGCTAAAAACCTCTAATGACAGCGTGTGTGCTCAGCCTTCGTGCTCAACAGGTGCACAATTACAGCATAGTTTTTATGCAGATCCCACCCCTGAGAACTGTCCTGCCTGTCTATAAGTGGACCATGATATAAAAGCCATTGAAAGGCTGGGGATTTAGCTCAAGGGCACAGCGCCTGCCTGGCAAGCGCAAGGTCGTGTGTTCAATTCCTGGTACCGGAAAAAATAAATAAATAAATAAAAGCCATTGAAATTGCTTCTAGAAGCAGACCAAACTGTGAAAGCTGTCAACCAAATTTAAGCCCTGATGCCAGTGTTTTAACCATGGTACTTGTTCTTTTCCTTGAATGTTTTATTATTTTACTTCCACTAGGAATTGTGGAGTTCTAAGTATTATTAGTGGCTTACCACTTTTGCACACTTGTATCCTGTTATTTTTGGAGGCATATGTGGGGAAAGAGACTGGCCTCTTCTACCCAATTCATCTACCTGCTCCCAAAGATGGACGCCCATGTCTTTTAAAGAGATCAGAAGGGCCCACACTGAGTCTAAGAAACTTGAGCAGAATAGATCATGGGCATCATGTAAAAATATTTTTTAAATATAAAAATCTCTAGTAACTAGTTTAAAGCTTTTTGTTCAGTTCTTGATTTGCTTGAAAATGGCTTATTTAAAAATAAAGTAACATAAAATGCATTACTTTGGCTGGGTGTGGTAGCACACACCTGTAATCCCAGCACCCGGTGGGTTGGGGGGTTGCAGCAGGAGGGTTGCTGTGAGTTCAAGGCCAGCTTGGGCTACATAGTGAGTTTAGGATCAGCCTGAAATATATAGTGAGAGTGTCTCAAAAACCAACCAAATAAACAAACAAGATACATTACTTCGCTCTGTAATACCTTTAAAGAAACTTTTGGAAAGAATGTGAAAATTTTCATTTTAAAAATTAATAAAATACATGAAAAGTTAGCAACAAACTAAGCTCACTTCTTTGAAATATTATAAGAAGTGTCAAAATTAAAGAATATATTACCAGATTCTTGGGTCTATGTATCATAAAGATTGAAAACAATACAAATAAAGATCACATTGAGGGGCTGGGGATTTAGCTCAGTGGCAAAAGCGCCTGCCTGGCAAGCGCAAGGTCGTGAGTTCGGTTCCTGGTACTGGAGAAAAACCAAAAAAAAAGATCACATTGAAATACTTATATTGTAACTAAAACAAATAGTCAAGGAAAACCAAAGCCCTACATTTCATTATCTATTCATTTATTCATCTTGTATTTAGTGATCATCTACTATGTGCCAGGCATGGTGGGAGGTGCTGTGGATACAAAGAAAAATAAAACACTGGAGAAGAGGAGACAGTATGCTAGTTAAAGTGTCTATGATGTGCTTTAATAGAAGTATGAACTGGCTAGATCACAGAGAAAGAAAGAAATGGGAGGGACAGGGAAGCCTTTGCAGAGGATATAATGTTTGAGAAGGAACAGAAATTCTGCATGTAAGTGCTATGGCAAACACAAACACCAAAATGACCCTCAGGATCTGGAGGCAGATTTATTTTATGTCAACAGGCACTGATTGGGATCATTCCCAAAACATCAGGCTCCAATCTCTGATAGTCTAAGGCTTTTATATGATGCATAAGCAGGAGGTACAAAGGTGAGACAGAACAGCCTGGCAGTTCTTCTGATTAGCTACAAGGTGAGATCGTCAGTTATAAGGCTAGATTAATGACCATCAGTTACAAGACATGAATATAAAGCTTGGTACAGTCAGACATCCTGCATGTTCAGTTATGCTCAAATGGTTACAAGGATCAAGAAAGTAATTACAGGGGCTTGGGATTTAGCTCAGCAGCACAGTGCCTGCCTGGCAAGCACAAGGTAGTGAGTTCGATTCCCGGTACTGGAAAAAACAAACAAACAAACAAAAAGTAATTACAGAGCCACAGAGCAGATAACAGAGCTAGGCAGTTTCAAAAGAACAAAGTGTTTTAAAAGAACAAGTTCCCTGGTGCAGTTTTTCCCTTTCATAAACAGAATGGGTAAAAGAAGCATGAGAGAGTAGGGTGCTTCCAGCACACAGAGCAGTGAGCACCAAAATCTCATCACACTGACTAATCAAGTGGGCATAACGTCATGAGTGGACACTCCCAGCCTGAGCACTGTCTGGGGCCTCGATGGCCGTCCCTACAAGCACTTCGTATGTAAAAGGTGTGAATGGGGGCTGGAAATCCTCTAGTTTTTTTTAAATTTTATTTTAAAGAGGAAAAAAACAATAACAACAAAAAAAAAAGCACAAAGTTAAAAACAAAACAACAAAAAAACAATAAAAGTGATACAGAATTTCAAAACAAGGTGGTTGGAAATTAACAATAGTTTTTATATTACATATTGTTATCTTCAAAGTAGTTGCTCAGATCACCAGACATAGGCATGCAAGATCAATAAAACAATTAAGCATTAACTGTTCCTTTCAACAAGCCAATAGAAATCAGTAGTACAAATTTCCCAGCTGTCTTGTGTATAGATATATTTCCCTAGTTGAGCGTGTGGTTAGCTGTTCACGTATGTTTAGCCCTCCTAGCACACTCCCATTAACTTCTAAGTCCTGTTGGATATGCAGCTTTTGGAATGGAGAAGGAAAAACTGAAGAAGGAGAAGGTAAGAAACTTGTGATTATTGTATATCTGTAACTGGATAGGATAGGATTCAAACTTAGGTAGTCTGATTCCAGAGCCTAAGTTCCATTATTCTCATGTGCCTAATGAAAGATTTGCCCCCCCTAATTATTATGTGTACCACTTACTAGGCATGAATTCTATATGAGCATTCACTATATTTTAAATTACTTAAAAGTAAGTCCATACCATGTAACTCTTTGTATTTTCACAGTGCTATGTACATATTCAACAAATAGTTTCTGACTAGTAAATAAAATTGACTCATCTACTAGGTGAACAATGTAAGTATATTTGGAGTTAATTGGCTCTGTCTATTTGTCCAATGCCAAACGGTAAAAGTAAACAGCTCTAGACATCGTAGGTGGTTCTACACTGTCTAACTAGAAAAATTAGTTGTAGGAATTAATATTTCCTTTGGTATGAATGACATTTGATATGCTGGATGACTATTGATATATCTGACAAAAACTCATAGAGTACTATAGATGTGTCTGTTACCTCCATACAGCTGAAATGAGAGAAGACCTCAGGTTGTAATTTTTAGGTACAAGATTTTTAAAAGGTCTTTCCAGTCAAATGGAGCATAACTTCTTCATACTTATATTTATTTACTTAACCTAAATATATTACCTGAACAAAAATTATAATTATACATACACACCAATCAATAATTTAAAAACAACCATTTCATATAAGACTTTGGGATGTTATTACACAGTATTTTAAAGTTCTCTGTATAGCCATGTATTGTTAATGACATTATGAATGTAATGACAGTGGTCCCATAAGATTAAATTGCATAGTGACATTGTGCACATCTTAGTTGGTATAAATACACACTGATGTTTGCACATTGATGGAGTTGCCTAATGACACAGCTCTCAAAATGTCATTCTATTGTTAAATGATGCATAATTGTGCCTATAAGGGCAAGGAATTGGTACTATCACATCCTTTTAAATAACTAAGTATATTATAAAGCTGAAGTATAGGATTTGCTATATTTTCATCTGAACTGTTGACTTTGGCATGCATTTTTGATTGAAGCAATTAACATGCAGTCAGTTGATAAAAGGGTTGGAAGACCTGTCACTGTAGGCCTTTTTTCAGCATCTGATCCCACAGTGACCAGAGTAGAGCCATACTCTTTAAAATTTATGTGTATTTATTTATAATGAGTAAATTCTCTGTTAGTTGTAGCTACAGAAATGTGGGGAAGAAGTGTTAAATTACAATAGTGGAATGTATCTCCTGTATTCACCACCTGTGACTCAGGGGGAAGTTGAGGTCTTAGACATTACTGCATTGAAGTATCATTAGATACATTATTCTTTTGATACAGGGAACAGGGGAATAGTAACATAGGATTGTTGAATTACCTGTTCAGATTAATAGTTAACAAATCATATGAGCAATAAGAGTGATTTTTAGGAGAATCTCCCCAGTGAGATACTAAGAAGGAGGCAGGGAGAACCTGTGCCCTCTGCATGAATCATGGACTAGAACGTCTATGGGCCCCATTGTAAGCACCACTACCTGCCTCCTAATAAAGCCCAGCCAGTCTGACTAATAAAGTCCAGAACAGCTCTGGACTTGCGAAGACCTATAATTTATGGAAGATCTAAGATGTGCAAGTTGTTACAGTAAGCATAGAGGGAGTACAAAAGGAAGGGAAGGTGGGATAACTTTTTTTTAGCAGCTGTTACATATCAAGAGCTTCTGCATCACATCACTTTTAATTTATACTTCAATCCTAGGAGACAGGTATTTTCCTGGTTGAAAATTAGGAAACAGAGGCTCAGAGAGGTTAAATAACTTGCTTCAGGCTACGCAGGTACTAAGTACCAGAGCTTACAAGTGAACCTGAATCCTTCACCCCAAAGTTTGTATTTGCTAGAATACCATAGGAGCCTCTCAAAGATGATGAGTTTGAGAGAATGGTGAAGAGAGACCAGAAGGGACACAACTGGGACAGAGTGGAGATTTTTCCACAGCATTCCATGCCAATGATGCTAACTGGCTTCATAGTCCAAATTCCTACCAGAAAGGTCAAGTGCACAGAACTAGCTGTTCTCAGCCACCATACACCTTAGGGCTGTACCTATAAGCCATCACAACTTGTTTTCTTTTTTGAGAGTGAGTACAGAGTTTAAGAAGAACCCTTGAGAAGAATTCTTAATAAAAATTGAGGCATATGAACAAACCTAATGCTTGAACTCTGGATGATCTCTTTTTCTGCTGATTAACTGTTCTGAAGATTGGTTCAAGTAATCTAGTTCTTCTTGGCTTCAAAACCTTTGGAGTATCAGCCTATGGGCTTAGATGGGCTTAATATCCACTGAAATCCAAGGTAAAGCTCAACAAACAAACAGTTTCTTCTAGATTTACCACATGAAGCATTGTTGTAAGGTGTCTCCTGGTTTTCCCTGCAGGTCATGATCATCAAATCTTTAACAGCCATGAGTTTGCTGAAGATGTGGGTAGGCCTTCCCATGATAGATCCTGGCTTTGTGAGAGGGAAGTTGGGAGGCCTGTCCAGCTCTGCTCCCTTTGTTTTAAAAACAATACTTTTCAAACTTTAGCATGCTCAGAATCACCTGGCAGGCTAATTAAAATTTAGAGCACTAGGCCCCATTCTCCGACTTTCTGATTCAATCGCTCTGAAGTGGGCCTGAGAATGTACAGTTCTAACAAGTTCCTGACTTGATGCTGCTGGTATCACTGTAAGAAATCACCTGGAGAGGCATGGTCCTAGGGCAGAACCTGGGTCTCAGATGCAAGGGAAATACACCATATGGTGGACTAACTAATGGTCAGCATGGGTGGGAACATGGAGCTGAGTTGAGTCAGCCTGGTTCTGGTCTTGGCAGATCCACCTGAGGATTGTTGCTGGAATGGCATAAAAAGAGAACAGGAAGAGAGGATTGCATGCCGCTGGTTTTCCTTGGGAGGGCCTTACTCCAGAATGCTGCAGGCCTCTGCTTTGGTTCACCTACTGGGGCAGCCAGAGACTCCGAATAGCATCTTACCTCCTGCTCGCTTGACTCCTACCCTCGCTAGAGCAGAGGCTGCTGAGCTTTGGCTGCTGTTCTCTTCGGAGGAGCTCCGGTCTTCACCTTCACCTGAGCATCATGTCTTGGCTTTCTGGCACAGACTCTGTAGCCTTCAGCGCTGAGCCCTAGGCTTCCCAGCACAGACCTTCAGTCTTCCATCGCAGACTCCTCGGCCTTCTGGTACAGACTCACTGGGCACAGTGCCATGGGCTCTGGGCCTTTTGCTGGACTCATAGTGGGGACATTGCTGTGGGATCCAGGCCCTTGGCTGGATTCTTCTGATTTCTAGCGAGATCTCTTGTACTCTTCTGCATTTGACTTTCTGTGTGAATATTGTAAAATAATCCTATAAATTATGTGCCCTGTATTAAGCCTATTGCCTTGCAAACCCTGACTATAACCACCCTGAACAGTCATTAGTGATGTGGTAGGCAGCCTCTACAGAGTTCCCAATGATGCACACTTTCTGGTATTCATATCTGGTGTAATCTCTTCCTCTTGAGTGCGAGCTGTACTAGTGAACTGCTCCCATCAGAGAATGCAAGAGTGATGGGGTGTCAACACATGACCAGGGTGTAAGACTTTGCCTTCCATCTTGTTCACACTCTCTCCGCTCGCTTGCTAGCACTGATGCAGACAGCTGACTTGCTGTAAGGTGCTCTGGACAAAGGCCTCCAGCCAACAGCCCTGGAAGACTTGAGCCTGAGTCCATCAACCAAAGGAGAAAAGAATTCTGCCAACAAACACGTGAATGAGCTGGGAAGTTTATTCTTCCTGGTCAAGCTCAAGAGCCACATGAGAGACCCAGCTCTAGGTAGGGCAACTAAATTGTACCCAGACTTCTGATCTATAGAAACCATGAGATAATAAAAAATTGCGGTCATTTGTTGTGCAGCAAGAGAGAACTAATAGAAGGGATCAACCTTCCATTAGGTACTAGTGGGCAATAGGACAGTAATGGGGAGACTGAGAGACTGGGACTTAGTGTGAATGGTGAGAATTTTCTTATAATGGAGCTGTGCTGGCCATTAGAAAGTTAGTTCCTGTCTTTGTTGTAAATTGTACTTATTTTGTACTTGGAGTATCATCTTTATTTTTTTATTTTTTTTTTGTTTTGGTTTTTCTCCAGTACCGGGAACCGAACTCACGACCTTGCACTTGCCAGGCAGGCTCTTTGCTGCTGAGCTAAATCCCCAGTCCCTGGAGTATCATCTTTAAATGGGAATGTTTATTCGGAGATCTTGTAACAAATTCTCTGATGTCATTAGAATACTATATGAAAAACAAAATCCTAATGGAATAAAAAAATTCTGTTTGTTAGTCTGTAAACAATATAACAAATTTCCATCTCTTAGAAGGTAATACCTAGGCAGTTAAGACCTTAAAAATGCTTTGTTTGTTTGTTTTTTTGAGACAGGGTCTCTATACAGTACAGACTGGCTTTGAACCCGCTCTATAGACTAGGTTGGCCTCAAACTTGCAGCTGTCCTCCTCCATCAGCCTCATAAGTGCTAGGATTAGAGTAGGCGTGCATCCCCACACCCAGCAAAAGTGCTCATTTGTAACATAATAGTGCACAGTTAAAGTAAGTGACTAAGAGCATTTCAAATTCACACAATAACAAATATTAGAGTTTTTAATAGTAGAGAAAAAAACAAGGAAATAATGCTTATGTTTTCCATGTTTAGCCAACATGTTTTGAGAGAAATCTATTAATACAAGGTAGGAATAGAATTCTATCATAAAAAACAAATAGATTATTGGCTTTTTATGGCTACATGACTTTTATGGATTAAAATCATGATGGTCTAAATAGTAGTAGATTAATTTATGTGGAGGAAACGTTACAAATCAATCACTTAAAAACTGGCTTTGTGCCCACATTCTAGCGGCACACTCGGGAGACTTGTACTGCTCAGCTAATGTCTACAAAGAGTGAATTTCTGAACATAATTTATGTAGATGAAGTGTGCAGAATGTTTTTATTTGTTCTACATCTCACTGTCTCACCTCTGTGTGAACTTCCCAAGGCCAGATCTACTCCAAATATTCTGACTCCCTTCTCTACACTTCCCTCCAACGTGTTTGCTTTGGCAACTTTCATGTTCTTACAAACAATTCTCCTAAGGAAATCAATCACTCTTGCACCCAAAGAGAAATACTGCACACTCAGTGCGATGACAAAATGAAACATGCTTGAGGCAAACCATGTGTTCCCGCGTGTCCGGGATTACGCTATTTGCTCAAGAAACATGTTCCTAATGTGTTTGGCTTCTGTTACCCCTTGTGATTGCAACTTTCATTGTCTTTCGGAATTTATGATTTCAGAAGCAACTGCTTGGACTCATTTAATTGGACACTCCTGGAATGTGAAGCCTGGGGAATTCACTGGGCAAGGTCCTTCTCTTCTTTTCAGGCACCTGGCGTTTGAGGAATGGTGGAGGCTAGATTCTCTTTTTCATCTGGAACCCCAGACAAATGGCTTATCTAAACCACATGGGTCCATCATGCTTTGAGAATTCATCAGCCGCTTTATTTGAGAAGAAATACTTTCTGGCCACAGAGTGAGGCAATGTCATGTCAGAAAAGAGCTTTTCTGATGCTCTACAGCACAATTACATGTCTACAGTTCACAAAGATTTATTGTATATTTTATAAAGAACTAGTGGAGTGGAGTTTGTAGGTTCCCAGCAAAGAGAAATGGTAAACATTTAAAGAGATGGAATACTGTGTACCAGATTTGATCATCAAACATTGTACACACATATTTATTACTCCCTGCCCCATACATATGTACAATTACTGTATGTCAATTACAAAGAAAGAAAAAGAGGGAAAGTGCTTTTCATGTGCTCTACTCAAGGTACTTGACTACATTTGTCCCTCAGTTTGGCAGCACATTTACTTAGAATAAAAGCACCAGAAGTATGGTTCCATTGTGCAAGCAGGAGAGGAATGGGTTAGTCAAGAGCCCCGCTGTTCTTTTTGCTTGGTTGAGGAATGGCTCCTTCCTTACCTCATCATCGTCATGGTGGGAGGTCACGTCCTGGCTCCCTTGGTGTTTTAAAGGAGTTCCTTCACTCCTCCAGAGCTCTTGGTACAGCCTGACTTCCTCCCCCGATTTCACTTACCTACAGAGGAATGAATGCTGGGAAACTCAGTTCTCTGTAAGTCTGATTTTTTTCCCTATATCTGCTCCATCTTAGGCTTTTTAAAGCAAAAAATGAAAGAAGTAGATTTTTCCCAGTCTAGTCTCTGATAGATGCAGAAGCTAGATACATAAAAATTAAAGCTGTCAGCCACTGTCATCACGGCAACTGGAGGGACATAGGCCCGAGGGAGACACAAATACAGCCTAGTGAGAAGATACAGAAAGAGAGCTGGGTTTAAAAGAAAGAAGTCAAGAATTTATACATTGAAGAGACTAGAAATATAATTCTGCTTAGTAAGAAAAGTGCTGATCTCAAAATGTCAGGGTTTCCACTAAGAGAACCTTGATCCCAGATGCACTGAAATAAACTTTACCTCATCACCCCACACACAGACTTAGGGGACACCATGTGTGAAAAGATGGCCTGGTTATGACAGTGGCCTGGTTAAGATCACAGGTTTGGTAGTAAAAGACCAAAGTTTGAATCCAGCCCTGCCATTAATTAACCTGACTCGTAGGGTATTTTGCCACCCTGAGCGTATTCATGTGTAAAGTGGGGAGGAATAGCATGACATCAGAAGTTTATTGTGAGGGTTACCCAACAGAAAGGATGCAAAGCCTGATGCAGGCGAACTCAGTATTAGCTGCCTCATCACCATCTTCACCCATTGTCCCTGTGCTGTGGTTGGAATGTGCCCCTCCAAAGCAAGTGCTGGAAACCAAATCCCTACTGCAACAGCGTTGGGAGGTGTTTACCTCATGGGAGCTCTCGGCCTCACTCATGGACTGATGGCCATCAGGATTGGGTTCATGACCAAGGTAGTGCTTCATTCAAAAAGGACATGTTTGACTCTGTTTCCCCACTCTCTCATCCATGAGACTTCTCTCATAGGACAATGCAGCGAGAAGGCTCTCACCAGATGCCCGTCCCTTGATCTTGGACTTCCCAGCCTCCAGAACAGAGAGGAAAGAGATTCGTGTTCTTTATACTCAGTCTTGGTTATTCTGTTGCAACACCAAAACAGACTACGACTCACTGGTATGGATGCAGTGGTTCTACATGGGGTACCATGAAGTATATTCTAATCAAAAATAGAAGCTTAAGCTGTGTAAGCAACTAAACAAGGATGGCAAAGTATGTGCTCTAAAGATATTTAGAGAGGAATAAGAGGTCATGCAGAAGAACAGAGAAAGCTTCAAAGGAGACGTAGACCTTTTACAGGGCCTTAATCTGGGCCTTGCCAGTTAGGCATTTGGGAGGTAATTAGGTTTAGATGAGGTCATGAGGGTGGGGCCTGAGATGGGATTAGGGTCTTTAAAAGAAGCAAAAGAGATTAGAGCTGGGATCTGCCTGTCACAGGAGTACACAGAAAAAGGTGGCTCTGTGTGAGGCAGGAAGAGTTCTCATTCAGGAACCACATCTGTCCATACCTTGAATTTGGACTTCTAGACTGCAGAACTGTGAGAAGGAAATACTTGTAGTTAAAGCCAGGAGTCTATAGTATTTTGTTAAGGGAGCCTGAGGCAATTGAAACCCTTTTACATGGAGGTGAGGAAGATTCTCAGAAACCTCAGGCTCAATGTGGGAATGTGCCACCTTCCAGGTGGGCAGTTTCATTGGTTTACTGGACACAAGGCACTTTATTAATATCTTTCTTTTGACTGGCACGTGCAAAGTGCCCCCTTTTGGCTGGGGTCACTGAGTAAAGCAAGTTTGAGTTTGAGATTTCATACTGAACCCATTCTCTTTTTAATTCCAAAGAATTTGAGTTCCTCTGCTTTGATTTCTTTTGCTCTGAAATTTTTATTTTCCTTAGTCTTCTCATCTGTGCCAACCAATTTCAAAATAATATAAAGTGCTGGCAGTTTTTGCTAGTGCTTTTCCATTTCTGTTTTAAATTTAGGTTCATGGATCTCTTTGGGGGAAAAAAGCCACAAACTCCTTTCATTCTTCAAAGTAACAGATAACTTGGTTTTGAGTTGAGGAGTGTATGGGTGAACATCAGACAGGTGCCAGCTGTTATTACAACTGTAAGAGCAAGACACTTATAAACCAAGCAAATGAAAGTTACACGGGAGAGAAGAGAGACTGCTGTAGTTCTCCAGATCTCACTCAGTTGGGCTCCCTAAGCTGAATAAAAGCCTCTGGAAAGAAAGGGAAACATAGACGCATGGTTTCTAATGGTTCATTCTGCTTCCCAGGAGTGTGCCTGTTTTTCAAAACTGCAGATTGCATTTCTCAGTGATACTTAGTTTCAGATCTCTATGAGTCTTCACTTTTTTTTTCCTGTTGGTTGATTTCTTGATGATGGCCATTCTTTCTGGGGTGAGATGGAATCTCAGTGTTTTAATTTGCATCTCTCGAGTGACCAGTGATGGCGAACATCTTTTCATATATGTATTTGCCATTTGTATTTCTTCTCTGAGAAGTGTGTATTCATCTCAGATCCCCTTTTTTGGATTGGGTCTTTGAATTTGGGGGGCCTGATTTTTTTTTAATTCTTTGTTCAGATAGAAGTCCTTTGTCTGAGGGACAGTTGCCTAAAACTTTTTCCCAATTTGTGGGTTTTCTTTACACTCTGTTGGTGAAGAACCCTTCTCTATTGCTGGTGGGAGTGCAGACTGGTACAACCACTGTGGAAATCCTCAAAACACTAGGATTAGAGGTCCCATTCAACCCAGCTATTTCCCTTCTGGGTATCTTCCCTGGAGAAATGAAAACATCATTCCACAGCTATATATGTGTACCCATGTTTATAGCAGCACAATTTGTAATTCCTGTTATGTATATGAAGCAGTTCTGTCTCGTTGTGCACTCCGGAAGTCGTCTTATCACGATGAGTGAATTTACTTTCTTTTTGCTCAGATCCAACTTGTTATCTTCAATGTCAATTCATTTACTTCCATTGGGCACTTGTTGGCAGGAGTCTTCCAGGACAACCCTGTCCAAACTCCCTTGCCTCCTAAGACAAATCTACTAAGAAGTCAGTCCTC